TATGTTAAGTTATGCATGAAATATCTGTCTGGGTATATGTATGTATATATATATAAAAAAAAAACTCCAGGACCTGATGCCGTCGTTCCCGTCCTCCATCACACGAGTGATAGTCCATGTCGGAACAAATGACACAGCTCTTCGGCAGTCTGAGCTGACAAAATTAGATTTTAACCGTCTTCTTAACTTTTTAAAGCAGTGTGGAAAGTCCGTTTTTATCTCAGGTCCCATTCCCACAGTCGGTCGCGGTGCTGGCCGCTTCAGTAGACTCCTTGGCCTCCACGACTGGCTCCAGTCCGCCTGCAGGGCTCACCGTGTGTTTTATGTGGATAATTTTAATATTTTCTGGCAAAGAATGTCTCTTTTTAAGACAGACGGACTTCACCCAAACAAACGGGGCTCAGAAATGTTAGCTGCGCACATACAGCATGTGGTGCGGTCCACACATGACTTACGTGAATGACTAATCATTCATGCAGCACACCTGGACGCACCACCGCTCACTGAACAGATCTCTGCCTCACTGCCACAAACAACTGTCTCCACCTGCTGGCATGTAAAGCCGTCTGCTCCCAGCGCTGTTCCACAGACTTCTATTCCTGTCATCATCACGCATAGACCAGTAAACCAAAATGTGCACATCCCACACAGAAATATTAGTAATCTCTTAAGGATTAGGACAACTGCACCAACTCCAGCACCCAGAACAAACTCATTTAAAATGGCTCTCTTCAATGTGAGATCACTTTCAAGTAAGACTTTTATCTTAAATGATTTTATCTTGTCTGCTAATCTAGATTTTATGTTTTTAACTGAATCCTGGTTGCAAATGAATGACTATACCCAACTAGCTGAACTGTGTCCGCCTCAATATGATTGCTTTAGTCAACCGAGGGTCAGTGGTCGTGGTGGTGGGCTAGTGAGCGTGTATAGGAAAAATTTTAAATGTCATCAAGTACGCTGTGATGAATTTAACTCCTTTGAAGTTCTCACTCTTAAAGTTGGAGGGCTGCAACCTATCATATTTGTTATAATTTATCGCCCCCCAAAACCGCCTGGAGGATTTTTATCAGAACTTCCTGAATTTTTATCTACTCTGGTTTTAAATTATGACAGAATTGTTCTTTGTGGCGATTTTAATATTCATGTTGATGACCCCAACAATGTTAATGCAACTGACTTTTTAAATATGGCCACTTCTTTTAACTTCAAACAACATGTCAAAGGGCAAACACATAACCGTGGTCATACACTGGACTTGGTTTTTACCCTGGGTGTCAGCATTTCCTCTGTGGAATTAGTGGACATGACCATATCTGACCACAGATTGTATTGTTTTTAGCTGCGATTCGCCTGTTACTCATGCCGCCTCACCAAGCTCCGTGTGTTGTCGCATCTTTAATGAACAAAGTGTTTCAAAGTTTTGCGCATTCTTTCAGAGCCAAAGCCAACACCTGTCTGATTCCACCACCAACAACCTGGTCGATCACTTCAATCATATCTGCTTGTCGTCACTAAATATTACTGCTCCTCTAAAGGTTAGGCCTACGTCTAAAGCTAGTAAGCAACCCTGGATAAATGACAGCATTCGCAGCCTCAAAAGGGAATGCAGGAAAGCAGAGCGCAGATGGAAAAAATCCAGTCTCCAAGTCCATTACCTCAGTCTGAAGGATTTATTAATTAACTACAATAAAATGGTTAAGGATGCAAGAACACACTATTTTTCTGAACTCATTACTACACATAAACACAATCCCAGGTTTCTGTTTAAGACTGTGGATCAGCTGGTAAACCCAACCCCTCCTTGTGCCTCAGCTGGAAGTAATGATGACTGTGAATTGTTTTTATCTTATTTTACCAATAAGGTGGTGTCAATCAGAGCCTCTATTACCCCCGTGGCCTCTTACTCAGAGGTCCCTCACCAGCAACAACAGAGTTTTAACCAGTTTTATCCCATCGACTTGTCTGAGCTTTTAAAAACAGTATCACAAATGAGAGTGTCCTCCGGCCCACTTGATATAATACCTACAAAATTTTTACTGAAAGTAATAGATTCTGTTGGGCCCCATTTGATCTCTGTTTTCAACAGCTCCCTATCTACTGGTTGTGTCCCTGATTATTTTAAAACGGCTTGCGTGAACCCACTTTTAAAGAAACCTGGTTTAGATCCCTACCTCCCACATAATTTTAGACCAATTTCAAAACTGCCTTTTATTGCAAAGATTCTAGAAAGAATTGTGTCCAAACAGCTGCTCACTGTGCTGGAAAATAACAAATTATTTGAAAAGTTTCAGTCTGGTTTTAGGAAGTACCACAGCACTGAGACTGCCCTGCTTAAAGTCACCAATGACCTTTTAATGTCTGCTGATGAAGGTATGTGCTCAGTCCTTGTACTCCTGGACCTTAGCGCTGCTTTTGACACCATTGATCACAACATCATGTTAGACAGACTGAGGCACTGGGTGGGGATCTCTGGTACTGCCCTAGAATGGTTTTCATCCTACCTGTCAAATAGGAAGTTTTGCGTGTCTGTAAACAACTATGTCTCTTCATTCTGTCCAGTTAAATATGGTGTGCCTCAGGGGTCGGTCTTAGGATCCATTTTGTTTTCCTTGTATCTGCTTCCCCTTGGACATATTCTCCATAAACATGGCATTTCTTTTCATATTTATGCTGATGACACACAAATATACTTGCCCGTCAGATCCACAGACCCTGGAATGCTGAGTTCGCTTAACAACTGCCTTTGTGAAGTTAAAAAATGGATGTCAAATAATTTCCTCCAGCTGAACTCAGACAAAACAGAAATCCTGGTCATCGGGTCTCAGCAGATGGCAAATCAAATACTGCCATCTGCTGGTTCCCTAGTAAATCACATTAAGCCTGTGGCAAAGAACCTTGGTGTTTGGTTTGATAGTAATTTAAATTTCGAGCAGCACACCACAAAGCTTGTTCAATCATGTTTTTATCAACTTAGAAATATAGCTAAAATTAGATCAATGTTAACTTTTAAGGACACCGAGACCATTTTACACGCCTTCATCTCATCACGCCTGGATTATTGCAACAGCCTTTTCACCTGTTTAACCCAAAAATCTATTGATCGACTCCAGACTGTCCAGAACTCAGCTGCCAGGCTTTTAACCAGAACAAAGAAATATGACCACATTACTCCTATTTTAGCTTCATTACACTGGCTCCCAGTATGTTTTAGAATTGACTTTAAAATTCTATTGATCACTTTTAAAGCTCTTCATGGCCTCTCGCCTTGTTATATTTCTGACCTTTTAGTCCCATACACACCAGCACGTACCTTGAGATCCTCGGGCAGAGGTCTGTTGTCTGTTCCAGAGTCTCGACTGAAAACTAAAGGGGACAGAGCTTTTGCTGTCAGGGCCCCGAGGCTCTGGAACAGCCTGCCCGAGGAAATCAGGTCGGCTGAGTCAGTGAACTCTTTTAAGTCCCTTCTTAAAACATACTTTTATAGGAGAGCTTTTCCCGATCTTATTTGACTTTATTTTATCCCTTTTATTTTATTATTTTACTAATTTTATATAAAATTTTCATGCTCTTATCTTTTTTTGTATTATTCTTTACACTTGTTAAAGCACTTTGTAACTTCTTTTTGAAAAGTGCTCTACAAATAAGGATTATTATTATTATTATTATTATTATTATATTATATAGATAGATAGATAGATATAGAGACATCAGCAGAGACTGGAGAGAGACCTCAAAACCAACAACACTGAAGATATGTGACAGGCCAACAAAAACATTACACACATTGGTGGATGTGTCGCAATGGTAATCACCTTGGTCTCGGTCTTATTTCTGTTTACCATTTTTATAATTACTTTTGTATTACTGTATATTGTCTGCTAGGTAGAAGTTACTAACTCAATTTCACTGATGAACCACACAAAGAACATTATATTGTTTTTAAATAGTAGGCTACTTGAATTAGACCCACGAGGAACCGCAACGTGCACGCATTTGTCGGCAGCACAGAATCCACGCAAAACTGTCCACAAGACCGGTGAATGGCAGGCGATCAGAGAGAAAATGGTCAACAATAAGCCTCAGTTTAGCTGGAAATGTACAGTGAAAGTTATACTGACTAATGAACAGAGACTGCAGCTCTGCAGCTTCTCAAGATTAAAGCGAAGCTACAGTGAGTAACCCTCCGCTGCGTACAAAAACACACATGATTCGACTATCAGTCGACTATAGGCAATCCTTAGTTGGGGACAGCCCTATAGTCTTGTTTTTCAATATCTAACTGAAGAAAATGACTTATTTTGACCTCTTGTCCCATTTTGTCCTCTTGCAGTCTTGTACTTTGTCCTTCAGCCCCACCAGTAGCAGTAATGAAGGTCGGTACGCCATACAGCTGGTGATGGAGGACTTTCCCACTCAGAATATCATCCTGACTCAAACTAACGGGACACAGACAACAATAACTACCATCAACGCTATAAGCAAGCTACCTGTCCAGTTTGTTTTAAGTGGTAAGACCTTGTTTTGGCAGCGAGACTTTGTTTAGCTGCACTAAAGTTGCACTGAAGTTGAGTTGATCTTAAAGAAATTAATCAGCTTTTGCAACATGTATATTATTAAAGTTATTTGGCAACAATAATAATCTTAGGAGATCTTACCAAAACAATAAATATGCATACAGTATTTTACCGACAAGGCAATGACTCTTTTCTTGTTTAATATGCTGATGTTTAGAAGGCACCAGTGTTTCACATATTAGCTTTGCATGCTAACATTATCTAAACACAAGGCTGATGGAAATGTCATTAGTTTTGAGGAATTTTATCATAAGCCAAAGGATGTAGTAAATAAGATTTATGAAGGGACCAACCTGCATTGCCATCCTCAGAAAACTTCAGCGTGGCTGAAATGTTGTTTTTTCTTATTGTCTTAGTGGACGCTGTTGTGCCGTCCTGCACAGAGGGACTCTATCTGCCCAAGTTTCTGCCTCCAACCCCCAGACAACAGAGCTCAGCTGTACGCCCCTGTCGATCAGACCATGAAGATCAGCATCAATGCAGAGGCAAATATGTCCACGTAAGTCAAAAATAAAAGGAATTGAGCAGAAGTTTGATCTTAAAAAAACACAGGTAAATGATTCCCTGCAGAACTTTCTCCCGTTAGATAAGAAATACATCGTCTGACACACGTGGTTTTCATTTGCCATGGCTTTCAAGTGCAAAAATCTTGATTTGTGTAACAGGTTTGACAAGAATGCAAAAAAGTCTACAGAACCAACTGTATAGTGCTGCTAGGAAATACACACAGTAGGCGTAAGCATAAACAGCAGAATGCATTCGAAGTCAAAAGAAAACATGAAAACGTCAGTACATTGCGCAAAGGCACAAGCAGACTGCACCATGTTTTTTCAGTTTCACAGACTTTGAGTTTTAAAGGCTAATACTGGTTTGTTAACTTTAATGCAACTACAAAAAAACAACATAAAAAAAAGAGTGAGATGAGAGGAATGCCCCCAGCATTAGAATTTTAATTTCAATCACGTCGTCACGGAAAAAGGGGTTTGCTACATTTGTGGGTAGGTACGGTTTGGAAATGCTCGTTTAATTTGCAAAGCCTTTTCTTCTTCTGTTTGTTAAAGGATTTCCGATCTGCTGTTTAGCGGGCCGTACAATATAAACAAGACTACATTGGGAGCTGGACAGTACATCCTGAGTTGGACGCCGTCTGAAAACCAAACCGGAGAAAGCCACCCCATCTGTTTTGTTGTCCAGGCAGTTCTCAAGTCAGTCATTTTTCACATGAACTTTACCTTGAAGCATATGGACAAACTATAGAAATACCTAAAATTAAAAACTATGAACTGTATTTCCTCTGGCAAAGGTCATTCAGTCATTAATACATATATCCAGGTATAATCTACCGTAAAACTTTGATTAATAGCCCAGGCTTTTATTTGCTAAAATCACTGAATTGACCATGCCTTTATTTGGGAAATGCGTCCATATGGGACAGGCCTTTAATTCCGATCTAAGCTGCTTAGAAGCAGCTAAAGCAGGCAACCCTGCAGGGTAAGAGGTGTTCCTACACCAGGCCAGTATACGGGGTAGGCGGTTATTTGGGACTCTGCTATTAATTAAAATTTAACGGTAGTCAGTTTAATGAAAGACAGGAGTTTTACATTTCCTGAATGTGAACGGGGAATGTAATCAGTTGACGGAGTTGAATCATATGAATCATATTTTTAGTTTTTTCGTAAAAATACACTCTTAACATTACGTCTGTGTGATCTCAGATATCAGTCCTTTAGGAATGAGTTGAAAATCAAATTTGTGCACATATTTGTCAAACTATTCCTTTAAAACAGAGTAGGGCTTACTTTCGCGAGAGTTGTGTTCCATCTACAGTAGCATCAAAGTGAATAATACCTTGTTGAGAACTGTATGTATAGATGTATACTTAATATCTGTACCGGTTTCTACATAAGAATTTGTGGGGATATAATGTGACCATGTGTAGATTGTGTTGATGTGTGCTTTATTTGAGACGATTACACATGCAGGCTGTGAAAAAAAATGTCATCCTTAAGCTAGAAAGACTTTCTATCTTGAAATATATGAAAATAATTTATGACATAATATTGATATATTTCCACAGTACAGTCAAGTATCAATCGGAGCTACGATGTGTCATTGTGAATGTTGGATACAGTGAGTACAACCCTTCCTTTTTTGTTCATGTTAAATTAATTTGTTAATTTCCTGGATTATGAAGTTCCCTAGTAATCTTTTATATTCACTTCTGTTTACAGACTCAACAACTACACCAGCACCCACAACACCCGTCACTACACCAACTATAACAACCACACAAACTACAACCACCATTTCCTTAACAACCACCCCACTGACCACAACCACCACTGCACCAACTACAACCACCATTCCCTCAACAACTACACCACTAACTACAACCACTACTACACCAGCTACAACAACCACACAAACAACAACCACCCTTCCCTCAACAACTACACCACTAACTACAACCACTACTACACCAGCTACAACAACCACACAAACTACAAACACCATTCTTTCAACAACTACCAGAACATCTGGAACCACAATCTGGAACCCAAGTGAGTATGACAAATTGTGATCTTTTACACTACACTTTGAATACTGTAATCGTCTACTAACAGCCATATACAAAGCTAAATTATAAGTGAAGGATCTAAGGGAGAACAATGATATTGAACTTGACACTGAAAATGAAGACCTTGTCTAAGACAGCTGTATTACTCAGTTTAAGCACCCTTCTGGCCTGCATTATAATGCTAGTTACTGTGTTTCTAGTTGTCAGAAGTCTGAGAATAAAAATCTCCTTTATGTCTTCATTGTCTGAGGACGACATCAGGAAAAACATCATACAACTGGTCAGTATTTTCTTTTGTAATCAGAAATTCTGTCAAGTATCAGGTAACTACAACCAACCTAGAGGGCAAGCAGATGCAGAATAGTCAACATTAGAGAACTGCATTTCCATCCATTACAAAAGAAAGTTTTTGTTGAGTTAGACAAGATGGTGTATCAATAAAAACTAAATGGGACAAAGTGCAATGGAAACAGAATTAGCGAATAAATCATAATGACTTTTATGAAGTATATGATTTAAACGAATGGGATGAAAAATAGCGTCAGATGAAAACACAAGATTTGTGTACTGTTATGACTGTAACTGTGATTGAGGTTTGACCGGTGCTCTTTTAAGTCTTTTCCTTATGCTCTCTTCAATGGTTTAATAGAACCCAACTGGAGAGTTAGCAGCACCAACTCTTTATCTTGATCTGATATTCGCGTAACACTACTGGATGGACATGCATTAATTCTCATTTTCTTTTTGCAGATTATCTTTAAAATTTGCACTACATGTGGATGGAAAGTTGACTAGAAACACTACACAGTAGAGAGCTGCATTGGGATGGGGAGCCCGTGGGTCCCGCAGAATCCATCACAAATCGCGCGGGAACAGGCGGTTTTAAGGCGGGAGTGAGCGTTTACAAAATATACTGTGGGTCCCGCAGTAGTACTGATAAGATGGAGTCAACAAACAAAATTGAAAAGAAGATTAAAGTACGCAGCTGCTCCAGAGAATGTACTGCACGGGCCTGACTTGAACTGGGAACCTCAGGTTTGGGAGGCAGACACACTGGCTACGTTCAGACTGCAGGCCAATGTGACCAAATCAGATTTTTCTGCCCATATGTGACTCAGATCTGATCTTTTTATGACAGTGTGAACAGGCTAAATCACATGGAATCTGATCTTTTCCCGTTCGGAATTGGGCCACTTTCATATGTGATCCAAATCTGATACAGATTGGATCTTTTTGAATGCGACCTCAGTCTGGACACTCAGGTCGCAATTTTGCGACTTTGACATCACTGTAGAACAGCTGTTCTGCTGTAGACAGATCTGCGGGGAATGAAAAAGCTCCACAAAAACCATTATTAAACATGTGGCTCTCTTCCTCCTCTACCTTGCTATCATCTGTTCACAAATTCCCTTTCTTACACCTACACAGGGGGAAGAGAGAGAGAGAGGAGGGAGTGGGTTGTGGGGCAGTTGCGTTGTACAGCGCAAGAATCCATAATGAAAAGAACAGAAAATTGTGAACACATGTCATAATACAGGAGAAATCTGACCCGTGAGAGGACAATAAAAAACGGGAGTCTCCTGTGAGCTAACCGTAGCTATGTTGCTCCTTGTTTACTTCTGCAACAGCATGCTGCTGTGTGTGACGTTATGTTATTCTTCTGCGCATGGGGGTCACTTTCAGGCCGCGGACAGTTCACACTGGAGTCTGATATAGGCCACATTTTAACAGTAATGTGTACTGTCAAACAAAATAAATCGGATCTGGGGAAAAAATCGGAATTGAGCATTAAGGCCTGCAGTCTGAAAGTAGCCACTGACAAGGAGGCTAAAACCCATGAACACTGGCGTCGGTCACCAGTGCGTCTCTTAAGGTGTCGGGGAGTGAAGTTTACTCACTACACAGCCTCGCTGGCTTCCGTCACACGAGCTTATACAATACAAGACCATAGCAAGGCAAGTCTGAAATTTGGAAAGTTGTTACGGACAAAAATGAATGCAATGATTTATGTCAGTTATTCTGAACGTCCGAAACATTTGTGTCCTTTTTTTACTCTGCATGTCACAATGTTTGCAGGTGCGAGCAGGAGTGCATACACATGTTGCGGGAGCGGCCGGTAATGGTCACAAAATCAGCTGTATTGGGCGGGAGTGGGATCAAGAAAACAGTACCGAGCAGGTCTCTACGACACAGCTCACCTCTTGAGTCACATGACTGGCACTGTGGGAAATATTCACAAAAAGTTTTATCTTTAGTGTCAAAATATTCCAGCCAGTAGTCCCACTCATTCCAAGTCTTGAGTGAAGTTCTTTTGGTCTTTGTCGAGTTTTTGCTGGGGCAGCTTTTTCATGGCTAGGCATCAGGATCTTTCTGTGGCCAATGACTGCTAACAGCTGGCTAACATCTCCAACAGTGAGGAACACTTAGACTGTCACTGTTCTATTTCGAATGGGCTTCACTTTCTGAGGCCATTGTTAGTTGGTTTACCCCCTACGTGCTATAAATGCATGATAAAACTTGTCTACACCCCCACACACAGCATATATGTATAGAGAGAGAGAGCAGAAAGCGAGGCGCCGCTACTTCCTTATGGGAGAGTGGTATCTGGCACATGGGCATACATTATGCCCGGGAATCTCCATCCCCGCTGCGAGGTGTGCTTCGGTCCGGAGCATGCCGGCCGAGCACTCACTCCTGGCACTCCTTACCAGGTAGGTGACGCCTCGGACCCGAAGACTCTGGGGGCTCCTGTTTCCAACTACATCCCCATCTCGGACCAGGGTTTCAGCCCGGTCCCTCCACTGAAGCCACACCTCACGGGTGTGAAGAAAGTTCAGGTGGCGACCGCACGGCGCCCCCTTATGGCCTCACAGTGGGAGGCCCATGTCGCCGACAGAGCTCACCAATGCGCTATACAGAACTTGACCTCCGCCATCAACACGGCGCCGATTGCTTCCTCCTTCATAAAGCTGGTGGCTAACTCCACCACCATGACGGAGGAAGAGAAGGAGGAAATCAGCAAAGGGGCCAGCGCGCAGCTCACGGAGTGCGCTGCTTCGGCCATCACAGCTGCCCCGATACGTCTCTGGCTGACCAAGATTCACCATATCCTGTGGCTCCTGCACTCCGCCATCCCCGAGACTGTCAAGCCCCTGCCTCCCACCCCTCACTGGGTGAGCGGCAGCGTTATATATATATATATTATATTACATATAAAATTTGGTGCAGATGTGACCATATATACTGAAGTTATAACAACTCGTTTCATGGCGAATCATCGTTTTTCGACAGCACGCCACGGGCAAACTGGTTTGTACAACTTTTAATCGGCAATGGGTTTAGACTGTACAGTGAAAATATGAAGTTGATCGGACTAAATCCCTAGGAGTTTGTTAAAGTACAAAGTGTGTAAATCGCCAAGAATGACCATTAAATCCAAAATGGTGACTTCCTGTTGGATTTAGGCAAGGGCTCCAAGAGGCTTTTTTGTACGTATGGACATAATGCACGTACCACAGAAATTTTGTACATACAGGTGAAACTTTGCCTGGGGTCTGCTCTGTAGGGGGCGCTAGCAAGCCATTTTGCCACGCCCATGCGCAAAACCCATAAAACACGAAATATTTTGCCATAACTGAATTATTTGCAAAGTTTGGCGAGTTTTCGGAAATGTTTCGCGGCCCAAAATTGAGGTTACTTTGCAGAAAAAAGAAAGAGAAAGAAAGAAAGAAAGAAAGACAAAAAAAAATCCTTCAGTTTCAGAAGGGAAAACATGGCCTCACATTCATGCTCGGGCCCTAAAAAAAAATCCTATCAGTCTTCATAGGGACCTCTCCCGGTTCGTGCTCAGGCTCTAATAATGATCCCTTCAGTTTCAATGGGAACCTTGCAAGGTTCGAGCTCGGACCCTAATAACAGTTTAAATGGGCTATATGTAGCTAAATGTGAGACTCTGGGTCTGATTTCCCAGGAGCACCACCGTCTGTGACGTGCAGGCACATTCCCGAGCCTCTCACCCGCTGAATTTGAACCGCACGCACAGAAACAACACCGCAGCTAACGACTTACACCTTAAAACAGGGGTGTCCAAATATTTTTCTCAATGGGCCAGATTCGATAACGTGAAAATACCTTAAGGCCGACTGCACCTCCTGTCATACTTTTGCACCATAATAAAGCTACATACAAATACATTGTATTGTAGCCAAGCAATTTTAATTAGACTGCAATAACAATAGTTTTTTGTTTAAATGGCAGTGCAGCCACTCAACTATTCAGCCTTTCTTTCATATCACATAGGCTTAAATATGGAACAATTGCAGTTATGAATTCCGCAACTAATTCCACAAAGCTAAGAAATATTTAGATTTAGATTTTATTCACTCAGAAACTGCATTTTCTGAATTCCAGATGACCACGAAAACACAGTCAACCTACAGTTTTTTTCAGTTGCTAACAAACGTTCACCTGAACTTAAGATACTTTATCTTAAGTTCAGGTGAATGTTATAACTCTTAACACAGCAGCACACCTACCTCACACAATTAGCCAAATAATACATTTTCTGCTCAAAACCAGATTTTGTTCTTTAAACATCAACTCTTTCAAAATCCAAAAAAATGTTGTCTATTTACACCAACTCAAAACGCAGCAAACCTGACTCAAAATCAAATCATTCTATCAAAACACTCGCACGTTTCCAGATCAATCAATAATAGCACACCGACTTTCTAAATACAAACATTTGATGGCATTACAAAAAACATTTGAAAAAAAATCCTTAATTTCACAAAAAAGATTTTACGCTCACTTGAGGTGGTTCTTGCCTCTGTCAAAAAGAATAAATTTGCTAAATGGGAGATGGAAACACTTTTCCGAAAAAGTTCTGACGTAGCAAACTTGTAACTCATGACTGATGTTTCTGCTGTTGGCTTGCCCGGTTGTGCAGAGTTCTACATGCCTGCCGAGAATTTCACACATCTC